AAGTGCACTTTCAACAGTACTTCTCAGTTTTTCAGCAGAAAAATGCTGCTGCTGTAGTAAATGAAAGAAAGCTGTCAGCAAGGCTCACTTTGCTCACGCTGTAAAGGACATAAAGAAATGAAAGACTTTGTCCTGTGATGGAAATTATCTGTGAATTCACAGAAAATGTTCCATTATTTACTTTTGAAAAAAAAAATTTTTGTAAATAGCAAATAGAAATGAACTCTTCTGTTATTAAACTCAATAGCACAAGTTATGTTTTTGTCAGTAAGACGACTAAAACGAATTGAAGGTTCAAAATTCATGCCATCCTCCTTTGAAATGTTCACATTTTCCAAAGCAATTCATCGACTGTCAATGAAATTTGGTGACTTGGAGCAACTGTTAAAAAAAACAACTTTGCACTTGAACTTTAGAACTTGAGAGAATAAAAAATATACCAAAGGCTTAGGATGGCTGAGGATGGTGTTCAGCCTGTTTTGAGAAATCTACAAATCAATGAACACCGGCCGTCAATAATGAAAGAAAAGTAGCAAGCAGATGATCTTTTGTTAGAACCATGGGGATAAAAGGAGTATGCTCCAATTAAAAAAGATTTCATAATCTGCTTTACAAAGCCGACTAAAGTAAGGAAAAGTAAGTTAGTTTCAAAGAATGGAGGATAGTGAGAGCTACAAAGGTCATCTTTAGTGGTTCATCAGCATGAACATAACACTCAACTTGTTTTATTCCAAAGCATCAACTTATAATCAAGTCATTCTTCAGCCTAAACATAAACTATAAAACTTTGATTAAAGCAATGTCACATTTTGTAGGAGATTTAGAAAACACAGTAGCATTAAATTTGTGGTCACTTCCTCATCTTATTCTTGCTCTTAATGCTCTACTTAAAAAATTCAGTTAAACGGTGAAAGAAAAACAGAACTGAAAGCAGCTGATAATGACGATGACTCCACCATGTGACAGAGTTGCATCACTAAGATGCAAGCTTATGGAGTAAGACTGATTGTGACACAAGTTTAAGATGTCTGCGGGCTGGATAGAGGTTTATGGTGTTGTTTATCCTTCCATCACATCTGCTTGGCATTGTATTTCTGCTGCTGTCGCTGTGCCCTAACCCTCCATTTTTCAGTGATTCACGAGTGGCCATTTCTCCACCTTGTGAAGCTATTAGGAGTTTGCCACGAGGCTTGGTATGTAGCTGTACCTTTGTCTCATTTTCTACAAAGAAAATAATACTACAAGGATTATTGATCCTTCCTTGTTTAGCCCAACCTGCAGCCTGCTCCGAACAGCAAAATGAGATGAAAAATAACTGGTGAAAAACAGCTAATAATCTATTTCCATTTACACTTAAAGTATATTTATTTGAAAATGGCTCATCAGAACACAGCTCGTTTTTTCTATCGCTCCTCTGTCTGGATCTTAAATACCTAACGAGGGGAAAGAGGGGAGGGAGAAGCTGATGTGAGCAAGGCATAACAAAGCATGCAATCATGGTGAAATTTTTAGACAATAACATCACACAAAGCGGGTAAAGACTGCCAAAGCACAGCTCCCTAATGGGTGCTTTATGTGACATCAATATTCTCATCGTCTTCTGAGATCGGATGTACAGGGAAAACGCTCTGCCTCTGGGGGAAAGAAAAAAAACTTGCCTTGCTGCTGAATGGATATCGAATCCCATTATTGCTGCAGCAGATCACAGAGCAACTGATTTTGAAGTTGGTTCATCTGTATTTTAACATCTTTAAATGGCACCGATTCACCTGTGCACCATTACTATTACTTGCAGAACTAAGAGAAAAACTGCGGAGGACTCAAAAAATACTTTGAAATTGTCTCTGAAGTAGTGCAACACTGCAAGTCAGAAATAGAACCAACATCCCAGATAGAAGCCATAAAAGGAAAACTCGCAGTAGCTGATGTTGAGGATATTGCCAATTACGGGTCTCATTTTCACAGTTTAATTCCCAAAGCAGACTATCCTTTTCTTATTATCTCTGCTTAAAGAGCATTGAAAGAAACACGTGGCACTTCTCTGCTTATGGGCCTTTTTTCATTAATCACTTCAATGGTGATCTTCTCTGACGGCTGTGCTGATGAGCTGTAACGATGATGGATATGAAGATCTGTCTTTAGCTCTGCTGTTAATGCAAAGCCTCATCTTACCAGGTGGTAATGGATAGCTCTGGCTTGTTGACGAGGAATATTTTTTTTGTTTGGTAAGACTCCCTTTTTGATGGAGTGAGGAGGTTACTGGAAATAGCAATATCAAATGAAGGCAACCGAAAACAAGCTGCTGTTGCATAAATCACTGCAAAAGACAAAAAAAAAAAA